TGCAAACCCGATCCGATCCGGGAGCTTGTGTCAGGTACCATCAAAAGGGTTGAAACTTATGTGAACAAATTAAACCCAGCTTTTTGACTGCTTGAAGTGGACAACCATGTCTATATGGCTTAGTTCTTTCTTTCTCGTTATTCTCTTGAAATCCTGAAGCTGCACCTGATTTCCGTTTATACCTGTTTGTGCTTAAAACCACCAATTTTGACTCGAAATTGGAGAGAGGTTTCTGTGTGGCCGGCCTTCGATTTTAGGGGAAATACGAAAATGGCCACCGTTGTCACAATTAATTTGAGAAACATCTTCCCAGTTGCCATGAATTTCCGTAGGACCAATTTTTAGGGATTTGCTCTCTTGTTTGAATGTGGCCTTGTTGTGCAGCTTGTTTTGGCCAACTTGAAAAATTTGGGGCTATATATGCGCTAAATATCTGTGCTTATTCGACACATTTTCGAATTATAGAGATACTTCAACTATTCCTATCTCATGAAATTTGTTTGTATGTACAAATTCGTTTGTAGCCGAATATGTTTCCACTTTAGTACTTGTCCAGAGACTTGTATGAGTTGGGGGAAAAAAGCTGCGTTGTTATGCTGGCAGTTATGCTCCACATGGCAGTTCTTATATTTCGGTTATTTGTTGTCCTTGTAGAGTTAACAAATCAGCGTGCATTAACCCAGAACAAGTTTAAACGTTTCATTTGACAGTTGGCTTCCAAAATTTTTCCCTACGTTTTAACTAAGGCCATGACGGAGACTGATAGAGATGCCCCTCAACTCACAGCAGCAGTGTAATAGTCAGTGTAAGGCAGACTTAAGTTTTTCCTGGCCCTGAATACAGTACTGCATTATGTGATTATGTGACTCACGTCAGTTTTCTGCATGTTTTCTGTCTTTAGCTCCTCCCATCAGCTGCACCTCCAATTGCACAGTCCAATCATCCACTGACTCCAACGATATTGAAGAGTGCATCAGTAACTTTGAAGCAAGCCGTATGGTATACATTTGCCTCACCTCAAAATATTTACTATCATGTATATTTGCAGGCCTACTAACTTGCACTTGCAATTTTACAATAGGCGATGGGAGGTAAGTTCGAGTGGACTCCTGAAATGGATGAGCACTTCATTGATGCGTACATCGCCTTCAAGCTGTCAAAAAAATGGGACAAGCGTAAATCACTTGAATGGAATTATGGTCAGATAGCCGAGCATTTGCGTGAAAACCATGGAGATGAAGTCAGTGCTGCGCAGTGCCAATCTAGATTCTACCGGTTCAAGAAGAAATGGCAACTTTTTTGCCAGCTTCGGGGGCTCAGCAACAAGGCTGCAACTGGCATCGGATGGGAAGAGGACACCCAGCATTTCACTGCTGACAAGGACCATTGGGCCGATCTCATTTCGGTTAGTTTTGTCATTTATTGTGAGTCGAATCTGACCAGTTTGCTTATGCATATATAGAAGCTAGAAACGTGACAAATCACTTATCCCTTGTGTCTTTTAACCAACAGTCCAACAGCGAGTATGAGGACTTTTCTAAGCCCTTTAGTTGCGGCTTATACGAGCGATTCACTCCTATCATGATTGGGGAAACGGCTATAGGGACACGAGCACAGTCTGCTAGCCAGCCAGAAATTTCCCTTGAGCAACTCGGAAACGAGCAAACCACCTCTAAAAGGAGTCGGAAAGGCAAGGCCAAAGCCTCAGTGTCGTCGCACCCGCCTTCGGCCACCTCCCCTTGGGAAGGGGAGGACGTGTACTACGTGTCCCCTATTCCGGGAGGCAGTAGTGGGAAGCGACCAGCAAGCAGTTTAGGTAACTCCGGCGAGCGAGAGGGTTCCAGAGGCACAAAATCTACCCGATCATCTGCGGACAGACTTGAAGACGCCTTAAGCAGGATCGGCAACTTCACAGACGTGGCGAGAACTGATCGAAAGGATCGTATAGACAGAGATGAGAAGTACAAAGTCGAAAATTGTCAAGACATCGTCTCAGCCATGGATATCCCCGTTGATTGGAAGGTAGAAATAGACTCGTATCTCGCCGAAGATGAAAATTTAGGCCAACGGATTATCTTCATGCGCTATGACGCTGCTGGAAGATATGCATATGTCGCAAGGCATATGAGGAAGAAAGGTGAAGCATAATTTGAAGTAGCCTATTCCAGCACAACAGAAGAGTTGCCGTCTCAAATCCGTTTCTGCTATCTCACACCGGCAAAGGTTGTGTTATAGGGGGGTAAATATATCCCAGGTCTTAGTTGGCTGTGGTTTGAATAAGAGTTTGGAGTGATGCGTGTGGAGTTGCTCCCTTTTTTCCAGTTTGGTGGAGTCCATTTTTTTTTCCAGCCTTCGGGACTTGCCTGTACCCGCTAAGAACTATAAGCTTGAGTTGTTTTCCTGTTTACAAATCTATTGTTATACTGTATGTGTAAAATGAGTTTGCTCGAAATTAGTTTTTTTCATTTTTGGTGTGTGAGATTTTGTTGCTAGTTCTTAATTGTTACTTATATTGCATAATGGCTATTTACCATATGAGGTTGGTGAACATATGAAAAATTGATTGTTGGCCTGAATTGTCATAGCGATCGTATATGCATTCTTGGAGTTGCGGACAGGAATAATTGTAGGCATTTGTTTGCTGGCTGTAGCTTTCATAGCTCAGTTTTGCAGAAGTTTTTAGCTCTCATCTTTTTTTGTTGTTACTTTCAGGGCTCTCATTTTTTTAGCGCTCATATTGTTGGCCAAATCTGTTGTTACTTTCATAGCTCTCATTGTTGGCTTAACTTTCATAGCTCACTTGTAGAGTTTTTTGTTGCGGACAGGAAGTTGCAGCCTTCGTATATGGCTTTTCCAGCAATTTTGCCTTGGATGATTTACTCCAGCATGTTTATAAGGATACTTATTGTTGGGTGAAATACACAAATGAGAAACTAAAAATTAGTTGTACACTACTTTATGGAGCCTTTGTCCTCTTGATTTTTAGATTCTTGTAAAAGCACAAAAAGGTGTCAAGCCGAACTGACTTGTTGAGTTGGAACACAGGCCTTAGTTGAGTTGGAACACAGGCCTTACATAGGTAGATGGCCAGGCCTTAGTTAAAAGGACGGTGACCACATTTTGTTTCAATCATTCCCCACAGATATTTACCAACAAGGCTATAGGAGCTCAGAAATTTACACTCACACAACAACAAACAACTAGTTGCTTAGGGAAGATGAGGCCACAACAAAAATACATACGAACTTCTGAAGGCTCCGTGCAATACTTTGCTCAGGGATGAGCTGTATAGAGATGTACTCGGGGCATGATATCAGTAGGTCTCTTTAACATTTTACTACACTCCTAGTTGGGTCAGTGCTTAAAAGACCAAAAGAGGCTAAGAAAACAGTTCTCGCAGAGCAGACGGTGAAACTGGTACGAGTCATTCGCTTCTGCTAGTAGCAAAATAGTTCAAGAGAGCAGAACCTGCGGCTTTCCAGGCAAACCCACATTTTCCTGCGTCTTTTGTGCTTATGGCATAGTCATAGGTTACTTGATATAATGCAAGTGCCTCCTTATGGATCTCCTGCACATCCTTCTTACTTTCTTCAAGCTCTGCTATTTCGTACAGTAACTGCAATCGCATAGTTCTTTCAACCAAGTAATTTTTCTCTTTACCACAAATGTAAATAAACTACAAAGATGAAAACTGACCCGCTTGTATTTCTTGATTACGTCATCAGCAGCATCATTCCTAGATTCATCATCCTTTTGCAGTGCCACATTCAATTCGCTTCGATACTCGTTGTACCTTCCTCTCCAAGAGCTGAAGTAGTTTTGGGGAACTTCGACATCGAAACACGGTAGTTTTTCAATTGAGCAAGACTGAACTACGCTGACAAGAAACCTGCAAAAGTGCAGAACACCGTTCAGCAAGGCTGGACTATGCTCATAAGAAACGTGCAAGAATTGACAGAGGTCCGAGGTCAAGTCCTTGAACAACCATAGCATAAAAACTAACTCACAAATGGTGGGCTGAACAACCATAGCATAAAGTAAGAAGAACTTCACAAATGGCACATTTCAACTTAGGATCTTTGATTTTGATCTATTTTTCCCTTTTTGTGGAGGCAAGTTAAAATTTATTCGCAAGGCAGTAAAATGTACATTACAATAAAACTAATCCACACCGTAATCAATCATTTACTTTGTTCTCTTTTAACAAATGTGCTTAAGTACTTTGTACCTGCTACAGTACTCATGCAGCCTTCAGGGAAAGTCTCAAGTTGTACAGCCGGGCATCACTGGAATGAAGAAATTTGTTGAAAAAGAGAACTCAAAAGGGGGTGTGGTAATATGAAAAAGTCAGGTGAGGTAAGGTGAATTGAACAGAATGAGCATTAGATCAAAAAAGTAAGATTGGACAGCATCAAGACAAGTTGTCCTAGCAGTCTACATAGCCTTCAGGGAGGAACCTGCTGAACCACAGTGCGAAGTGAGAGGCAAAGCCTTAAGCACAGTGCTGTATGTCTCCGGAGGATCGTACAACTTGCTCTACTCCATGCAATAGAAAGGGTTCACGGGCTATTACTCTGGTTCTCTTCTTATCTGCGGACCCGATAATTGTGTCCACCGAATTATTTTTCTACACATTGTACAGGAGCCGATAATAGATTATCAGGCTTTTCAAAAAGATGGCAGCCTTTCGAAAAAGATTGTAGCCTTTTTGAAAATGAGTTCATTTTTGCATGTGAATTTGCCGGTGCATAGCTTTGCTCGTATTCTGATTGCGCCTTATATGTAGTTCTCCTTATGGGTGGAGTCGTGCAGTTGTCACAAAACTCTAGCTTCTTTCTATTGGCGTCCCAGACGAACGTGTTTTTCATAAGCATAAAGATACCTTTCACCCACCGAGTACTTGAAGGTAATCGTTTCCCTTGCTCATTGTCTGTCAAAAATAATTGATTCTTATTTAGCAGTTTATAGTTACTCTCTTTATCTTTAGAGGCATTTGTACTATGGCGGCCAACAATAGGAGGACGGCCAGAGGACGGAGAAAACAAATAGCTGAAAAAGATGAAAGGGATGAGACAATGTTGGTTTTGGCAGCAGAATTAATGATGCTGCATCGTGACCGAGCTAGGGATAAAATACCTCACCACGACGGCTCTCTAACCGGACGGCAGTGGGTTGAACAGGTGATCAATGGGCATTACCGACGAAGTATGGAAAACATGCGTATCACAGTTGACAATTTTCTTCGTTTATGTGAAATACTCCAGAATAACGGTTATGTATCTCGATCCTATCAACAAAGGGTTGAGATAGAGGAAGCCTTAGCGATGACTCTAGTCATGGTAAGTCATAAGCATACTCAGCGCGTGCTAGCGGAACGATTCAACCGGTCAACGGAGACAATTAATCGAAACGTACACAAAGTGCTCAAGGGCCTGTGCAGATTTGCCGCCACAATAATAAGACCGTATGACCACGATAATGTTCACCCAAGAATTGCAAACTCAAGACACTTTTATCCATGGTTCCAGGTAATATCCTATAATTTAGTCTACAAGCATACAGCCTCACGAATTTGCTCTCCTAGAGGACTTAACCATTTCTAGACGATTATTCATTCTTGACAGGGTGCTGTTGGAGCTCTAGATGGCACACATATTCCGGCTTGCCAGCCAAATAGAGAGCAGATGGCATATACCAATCGACATGGGATACACTCACAAAATGTCCTGGCAGTCTGCGATTTTGACATGCGATTCAACTACGTATACGCTGGATGGGAAGGCAGTGCCCACGATGCACGGGTGTTAGAATCTGCGTTGATGCCGCCATCAGATTTTCCAATTCCGCCGGCAGGTACAAAATTAATAACTACTTGGCATTTCACACACGTAAATATACACAAAGTCATGCTACTAATTCTGCATCCTTGCTCCCTTGCATGTTTTGAGAACTATAGGGAAGTACTACTTGGTAGATGCAGCATACAGAAACACTCCGGGTTTCTTACCACCCTACAAGAATGTTCAGCAACGAGATCCAGCCAAGCGGTTGTTTAACACCCGACATTCGAGTCTTAGAAATGTTATAGAGCGTACGTTTGGAGTATTGAAAACAAGATTCAAATTCCTCAAGGGCCCAGTACCCAATTTTTATATGACCACACAGATTAGTGTGGTAATTGCATGCTGTGGGCTACATAATTTTTTGAGAATGTTCCAACCCGGAGATGCCCATTTCCAAAGGTTTGAGAATGAAAATATTCAATTAGAGGTGCAATCCGACTTCGGCGAAAGGGTGCATATGCAGACTCCAAACGCTTTTCGGGCAGAGATAGAAACATGGAAAGCAACACGCGATGCAATGGCGGACCAAATGTATGCAGCCCAAGGACGCCGCAGGCGATAGATGACGAGCTTCAATAGTAGTCAAAGTATCACATACATCTTTTATCAACTGCTGCCATCGTAGATGGAATAAAGGTGTATCACCAGACTTAGTGTACTGAGAATCGTGTCAGAGGAACTTCAATGTCTAACATCTATGTCATAATGGTGGACTCTTGTAATACCTTTGTTTAAAAAAAGATAAATAAAAGTTGTAGTTATCCAAACAATTATTTCATGTCATATTTCGCTGTCCAAACAATTATTTCATGTCATATTTCGCTGTCCAAACGATTATTTGGAAGTTTCATTATTCACAAAAGTCAAATTTGAATATTTCAAATAATATTTCAAATAACACACTATCCAAACACCACCATTGTTTAGCTGCTGCCACGCATCGCGCGATTTATGCGTCCTAGTACTAGTAGTCTAATTGAGTTTATTATAATTCATTTGCATTTGAACTACGGTTAACTTGATTCTCGAAACGAGATACATTGGCAATTCTACATGAGCTTATTACTATTTTTGCATTCTTCTAGTAATTTTTAGTTTTGTGAGTTTTATTTTAATATAATTGCAGTTGAAAAAAGATAGGTAAATAATTTGATATCTACAACTTTGACTTAAATTTCTTCAAATTTCAGACAAAAAAGGACAATCTATAGATGCTAAATTTTTATTCAAACGGTAGACAATTTATAGAGAGTAAATTTTTATCTAAAAGGCATTATTGTATCACTAGCTTTTAATAGTCACTGTGTATGATACCTGGACAAGGGATGTACCTATTTGTGTACACTCCCCTTGAGCGTTGGTGTAGTTTTTGCACATGGCACGCCATCCCGTGATCATTTGCATAGGACGTGCTTGTCATCGCCCATTTTTGTTATTGAGCAAAATAATCGGATAGCCATTGAACTTTTTGAATAGTCAAAATTTGGTCATTTAATTATTAATAATATATTTTTATCCATTAAACGATCAAATATGTAAATTTTGGGTCATTCCGTTTAATTCCACCATTAATTCTACCAAATTTAAGAGCCTACACGATTTACAAGATATACTATTAATAATTAGATCTGAGAGAGTTAATAGTGAAATCAAATGGAATGGTCTAAAATTTATACTTTTGATAATTCAATGAATAAAAATATGCTATTAATAATTGATTGGTTAAAACTCAACTTTTTCGAAAAATTTGGTGACTACCCAAATAATTTGCTATTTTGTTATTACTACCACGGTAGAATTTGGCTAATTCCTTAAAATATACGTATAAAAAAAAATTATCCGTCAAATGCACGTCTGACTGAGGGCTTTCTTATTCTATACGGGCCGTGCTGAGTCAGCACGGCCGAATCACAAAAAATCTACCCGGTCAACATCCACTTTGGGCTGAGCATTTGTGTCAGCGGACGTGCTGACTGGGCACGTCCGCACCTGACACAAACCTGTCAGCACGTCCGTCAATCTCTCGCTTTCTCTGTCTCATGTATATCATAGCAGCTCGTCCTCTGCTTGCATTCGTTCCTTCAGTTTGGCTTCGGATTCATACAGGTTAGTAATTTAAATTATTATTACAGCATTTATTAATTACATTATTTATATTATGTTAATTAAACATGTTAAGTAATTATGTTAGTTATTTATATTATGTTAATTAAACATGTTAAATAATTATGTTAATTATTTATATTATGTTAATTATTTATGTATTTACATGTTATATTATACTGTCATCAAATGACATTAATTAAACTTGTTTTCTGCATTGTGTGTTGTTGTTATAGTTTATTAATTAATAGTTAATGTAAAGTGTGATAATTTATTTATAATTTTACAATATTGAAGTGTTAAAAAAGAGTTAACTAGTGTATATAGTGATATAGTGTTGTCGACTACGACTTATTGTTTAATCGTATAATTTTTGGCGAATTACTATGTAATATAATTCATATAGAAATACTAGAAATAACTAATTAAAATTATTGCTTTTTTACATGCATAAAATATATTAATTAACTAAACATAAGAAATTTTTGGATTGCATAAAAAAATGAAGTAATCTGCAAATATTAATAAAAAAATTTTTGGATTGATATTGATGTAGATGAATAATTCATGTACGTAGTAGGACTTTTGTAAGATATCATATATGTTGCGTGCAAGGTATAGTTAAAATAATTATCCAAAATATAGTTAAAAATGTAGTTAAAATATAATAAAAATATAGATGCAAAAACGTTGTCTCGAAAAAATAATTATCCGAATTGGTTGTATTATTATGTATGCCAATCACAATCACAAAGTGATTATAATAATTAATTCCTGTTTATTAGAATACATGAATCGTTCGTTAATTAACAACTATTATGCATTTAATAATGATTTAATAATAATACATGTGGAAAAGGCATCTAGGGACATGAATCATGAGGTTAGGTTAATGTATTTATTTTAAATATTAATGAAATGAAGTATATTTAGGATTACGGTTAAAATTTAGTTTAATCAGGTTAATTTGAAAATTAAAGTACCAAATTAAAGTACCCTAACTCTAAAAATCCTAAAGTCTAAAACTTTTTTTTTTTAAATGTTATCCGAGAGACCTTTGTGTCAGCGGACGTGCTGACTGGGCACGTCCGCACCTGATATTTGTGTCAGGTGCGGACGTGCCCAGTCAGCACGTCCGCTGACACAAATGCTCAGCCCAAACTAGATGTTGACCGGATAGATTTTTTTGTGATTCGGCCGTGCTGAGTCAGCACAGCCCGTATAGAATAAGAAAGCCCCTCAGTCAGACGTGCATTTGACGGATAATTTTTTTTTATACGTATATTTTAAGGAATTAGCCGGTAGTCATGTGGCCACGAATTTCGCTGCAATTGGCGTGGTGTTCCGGCATTGCTACATGTATTGGGACATGCCTTATTGTTCCTTTTTATCTTTTTCTTCTAGTTTTGGAAGAAAATAAAAGTGAGGAGAAAAAACCAGGAAAAGTGCGGGGAAAAAGGGAAAGGAAAAAGAAAAAGAAAGCAATAAGATAAAAAGAGTGATCACCCATCCATTATCATCCATTAGCATCAATCATTAGCCACTTCTATAGTATCTTCAATCAACCATTAGCAAAAATCATTAGCTTCCCCAAAATTAGAAAAACAACTTTTAAGTCCCCTAAAAAAAATTGTAGACGCATGAAATTTCACATTGACACTATAATTTTTTCCAACCACAAAAATAATAAAATTTCACATTGATGGATTATAATTTTCTCCAACCATAAAAAAGAAATGAAAACCTCAAGTAAACAAAAAAGAAATCGCAAATCAAGAAAAGAAGCTTTCAATCCATCCACCAAAAAAAAGAAAGAAAGAAAGGCAATATATTGAAAACAAAGAAAAGAAAATTTCAAATGAAAATAAAGTGCCAAAAAAAAAAAACTCAACTTGCACTCAAGAAAGAAAAGAAAAGAAAAGAAAAGAAAGCTTCAAAATATTGAACTAGAAAAGGTGGAAGAAACCATCAACACATTAACTAAAGAGGTTGATTAGAAAAGAGGTGGCCAATAGCCCAAAAAAATTTTAAGTTTTGGTGGGGTGAGAGATCACCACTTCAAACTTTGGCTCGGTTTGATAAATGAGTTTTATGGGTATTTGTTTAAAAATTCACTATAAATGATGTTTTACGGACTTTTCTATCTTTCTCACAGAATAATAGAAATGGGTAAATCATCATCATCCTCGCAAACTAGGATGCCTCTGTACTGACATCATGGCCGAATTTTTCCGCCTTCGTTCTTAAAAACTTAAATAGATTCAATGTGTATTGTGTACATCATCAATGGATAAGTATGCTCACTTAGTCATTTAGACATTTTCTATATTACCATACATATAATTGGGAAATCAAAATTAACACCCTATCAGATTTTTTTACGTTTCACATTAAAATTTCTACAGACAAATGCTACGTTTTTGTACGAAAATAAAATTTCCATTATCTCTAAGTTCATTTGAAAATCTAACATAAAAAGACCAAAGAAAAATTCAGAAGAATACTTGGTTGTTGATGGCTATTGATGCTCTCTTCTTAACAAATCTTCTCGCTTCTCCATGCTAGCAAAAGCACATATGTTTAGACCTACCAGCAACGAGGCTAATATGGAGAAGAATGTACTGGTGGCTACTTAGAAAATGCATAAATTAAACCAAGTAATTAAAGGGGGTTTTGCAGTTTAGCAAGACAAAAAATGATTTTTAACTCTACAAATTTGGCTCACTTGCTTTCAAAAAGGAAGAATCCACGTGGCAGCCAATGGTAACAAGGGAACAGAGGGACAGGAGTAGTTCTGGGAACAGAGGATGGCAAGCCGTAGAAGTTATAGTAAATTTTGTAAGATTTGTAAAACTTTTTCTTTTCTTTTTCCTTTTCTTTCCTCTCCGCTTCTTCTCCTTCACCTCACCAATTGTCAGCCGCTGGCGCTCAAACCTCCGCCGGCAACAGGCGCTGGCAGTTGCAGTATTATTATTTTTTTCTTTTTCCTATCTTCTTCTTTCTTTCCCTCTCCTCCCTTCCTTTTCTCCTCCCCTCCCCTTCGCAGATCGCTTGACTCAATTTGGTGGCACCATCTGGCCTCGTGACCAGATCTGGTCACGTGGTCAAATCTAGTCGTGCGGCCAGATTGCCGGGGGGAAGGGGAGGGGGAGGGAGGTGGCCGGAAATAGGAGAGAAGAGAGGGAGATGGGAGGGGAGGAGGAGAGGAAGAGAGAGAAAGGGAGAGGAGGAGAGCGGAAAAAGGAAAAAAAAAATCTACAATTATCGGCGCCGACAGTCGGCAATTGGTGAGGAGGAGATGGAGAGGAAGAGTGAGAATAGGAAAAAAAAAACTTACCTTTGTCGACACCCGCGCTGGAAGAGATGGTCGGCGTTTGGCGTTGGCGGCGAAAGAGGTGATCAGCGCCAAAGGTGGTGGTGGGTTGATATGGGGGAGGAAGAGGAAGAAAGGAGGAAGAA